GTCAGAGGGCCCGGCACCTGGCTGCCTTTTGCTGCTTAAGCCTGTTGCGTGTTACCTGCGTGGAGCTGATCGTGGGCTGTGGCCAACTAATGTAAACAAAGCGGATCACAAGATAGGGCCAGTCGACACCCCGTGCCTCCAGGGCCTTCAAACAGGTGCAGTCCTTCCTCTTCCTCAGCACCACACGCCTGTTGGTACTTGGAACTCATTCCCTTTCCTTTTCAGTGTCTCCATTGTCACAGTCTCTAAATCGGCCCAGGCAAAGCTTCCCTGCCTGTTAGTTCTAGGAGTTTGTTGTTCCTGCAAGACACTCAACACGCAGCATGTTCCTGATGTGGCCGGTGAGGCCAGCTGATCTAAATCAGGGAGTCGGGTGGGAGCATGCACAAATCCCAGCTCCACCACTTCACAACCTGGTAGTGCTCTGCTTCTCAGAGAGGCTTGCTGAGCTAACTGGGGTTGAACAGCCGTCAAGTTTTGGGAGATAACATGAAGGCTTCTAGCAGGCTCAAAACCAGGAGACACTGCATTCCTTGGCCATGTTTGTATCTTATGCTGAACTGATTATGACCCTTTCATTTAGACATATGGATTAAATAACAGTTGTAGGAAGAAGAGTTGCAACAGGGTGGAATCAGCAGCATGTGCTTTGGACAAAAAGGAATTTGTGCACATTTTTGTGTAATGTGCAACAGTAGTCTAAGACATAACTTGAAAAATTTTCCATTAGTTTTCCATGTTGGTTTGAAAACAGAACAGAACCTAAAATACATTCTGATTAAGAGAAATGTCTGGGCTTTCTGGATATTTTAATTTCTTTTGCTGTTTCATTTTTTGTTTTAATTTTTGCTTGCAATGTTAGGAAACAGTAATGAAAAAATGCCTTAAAAATAGTATGCTTTGCCCATTTAAACTGCAGGCCAAGAAACACACATGATTTTTGAAAGAAACTTTGGAAAGCTGCAAATATGAAAAGCATGTGAGGGGAAGGCAGAGGAGGAGAGGTTCTCCATGGGTCAGCAGCTCCTCAATTACAACACCTGGGCAACGCTGGTATTTCTTAAGCTGTAGGATCCCAGCTCCCTTGAAAGCAGACAAAAAAACTTGTGACAGAACTGGGTTCTAGTTAAAGCTGCTTTTCTACATCACAGGTTCAGACAGTTGGGCAAATGCATAGCTGTGGATTAGCAGTTGATAAAGCCTGGGAGACTGCAAGGCTTCATGTTCTCTTGGGTGGGCACTTTTCTGCTCAGAAGAGGAAAGGACTGATACTGATACTACCACTAACAAAACCCACTGTTCTGTCATTTTTTTTTTTATCTTGTCGTGGTTTCTGCTAGATTTCTCTCTAGCAGAGTGTGAATTTCAGAGTGTTTATTCAGTGTGGACTAAGCAAAAACACATGAATGCTTTAGGCCTAGACTTTCATCTTTGCCACTGCTTGAACTGAAGGAGGTTTGAATCTCAGAGTAGAAGTAAAGCACTCCTTCAAAAACTGGCAGTTAATATTGTGCATATCCACTGAAACAACTGAAAAGACCCAAATGCTGGTACATTTTTAGTAAGAGTGGAATTTGTAACTTCTCAGTCTCACTTGTGTGACTTGAAGCAATCTCAGGGGGACGATTTTTAAGTGCCTTGTGTGCTGCTGAAGTTGCACAGAAGGGGCTCACACGTTTTGGCTGATTTGTATAAAGCACTACAAGGATGTAATCTGTGTCAAGACGTGGCACTTTCAGGTAAGGATGCAGGAGATGAGCTAATAGGCAACGTCTTAGCTAGGACAAAAGTTGCGTCAAGTCGTTGTCCAGGTGGGATCAGGCTTTTCCACCTTCGTGCACAGATGGTTCTACAGTAGCAGGTTCATTCAGTGGGGTCCTTGGAGGTGGGATGAATATGTGAAGGGGGACAGAGGAGGAGGGGGTGACTCTTCCCAGCAGAGTTACGGTCAGCACAGAGCTGATCCGCCTATCAGGGGACACAGACTACAGTAGGCAAAGCATAAACTATATTAGTTTTTCACTTACATAGTTAATATACAGTCTGTAGTTAGAGCACAAGTCATCTTTCTTTGCAATGTGAAGATACGTGGAAGTATTTTACCAAACCTTGCAGACAATACTGTTTTATCTTCTTGTAATACAATTGCTTTAACACTCAGAATTTGCACATTACCAGGAGGCTTAATGAGAGTCTCTAAGGATGCCGAAACCCAGGATGAACTGGGTAGTGTTCTAAGTTTCTGACTTGTGGAGAGTTGGGGTGAGATCTCCCTCTATCTTGCAGCTATTTACCTGTGGAGAAAGAGGCATCAGAAATTTGCCCCATTGTTAAGTTAATTTTGGTGGAATAAGTAGACACCAAAGTCTTGCTAACATGATCATTGCTGTATAGCTGTGAGCAGATTAAACTGCTTGCAGCATCAAGCATAAGAAACCTCCAGCCACATACTCCTGTGCTTCCTTATGCTTAGGGGTCAGTTGAACATGGCCAAAGAATGCGGAGGCTCTGAGGGCCTAATTCTCCTTCTAGGAAGTGTAGCTTCCAAAGCAGAGCAAGAGTTGATGTCATTGTATGGACTTCAGACTGATTTCCACTCGAAAGCCAAAAAGACTCTGAGCTCCCTTATCGGTAGTTACGCAGAGACAAGATGACTGCCATTGTATGGCTTCTTCAGGCCACTGCTGCCTGAGGTTGCTATTAGTGCAGCAATGACTGCTTGTAATGCTTTCCTTTGAGCATGGCAATGAGATGCACCCAAGTTGTGTTCTGCTTTGCCAAACTACATGTGTCGCCCCAGATAACCTGCAACTCCATTTTGCTTTCATTTCATGTTAGGCAGTGGTCCTCATGCCAGGGAGGTTCTTGCAGGCAGTGTAAGGACTTAGCACAGAGATCTTTGGATATCCAATGGAGCTGATAGTTAATGTTGCAATGAGTTCTTTCTTTTCTGTCCCTCCTTTCCTGAAGCCCTCCTTTACCTCATGGCCGTGCTGACCTATTTGACCTGAGCAAAGACCAAGAGCTGAACCTTGCCTACATTTCTTCTGTTCCGCATGGTGGCATTGAACAAGTTCGAATTCACTGGTTACTGGAATTAGTTGCTCTCAGGTAAGCAACACCTCAAGTCAAAAATTGGGAAAAGTGTAACACATCAAAGTGTCCAACAGGTGCTCACTTTGACATTTATCTTAGTGTAATTGCAAGCTGGGCAATTACACTAAGATAAATGTCAAAGTGAGCACTTCCTTCCTTGGAAGCCAGAGGAGGGGAATCAATTTGAGGGTGTATGAGATTACAAAAGAGAGAGCTTGTATTGAGAAAGATGGGGCTAACCTGTATGCATTACATCCTGACAACAGGTTAAGGAGCAGTTTAAGGTTTCCTTTCATGTGAAGAGTCTTGTGGATGTGCTGGTCAAATTTTACCAAGACCATCTCGGGAGATACACTGCAGTCATTCCATGTGTCCCATGCTGCTGTATCCAGGCCTCAGCATCTTGATTCCCAGTTGAGGCCTCAAGGCTAGCAGAAATGGGTTTCATGGACCTTTGCATGTACAAGGTTCTAGTGCAGCTTTTTTTACCTGGGTGCATCCTTTCTAAAATACTGCTTGGCACAACCTTGAAAAGAGAGTTCTAGAGGAGTCTCCAGTTGTTCTTTAAGCAAGGAAGGGTTCTGCTTTGCTGTCAGGGAATCTACACCCAGTATTATGGAGTGAGCTCTCAACTGGATTCCAGGCAATGGTCTCATACTGGGTGTTTCCAAGACACATACTGGGTGTCATCATTGCTGTTCCTTCAAGTCCAGCAGAGTGTGGTCTTAGTGCAGTAACACCAGCAACTACAAAGTACTGAGAAGAACTGCTGGGAGAAGCCAGACTTGGAGGGTTCTGGTCCTGGACACAACCCGGCTGTCCATATGTGTACCTAGAGCTCCCTCTGGCTGTAGGTCCGCCTCTAAAATTCAGATCACAGTGTTCTGCTTCCTTTACAGGTTAGATGAGTCTTTGGTTAAAGCTAGGAATGGGATGGAATAGGGTCATAGGCATTAATTCAATCCATTCCTTACTAAAGCATTTCGGGTGGCAATACTGTGCCAAACAAGACTTCTCATCCATTCTGTTTTGTGCTTTGCTAACCATTAGCCATTCTAAGAACAGTGATGAAGGACTAGAAAGATGGCTTACTTCTCTGCCCTTTAATTTAGGAGACATGGTACAGCAAAAAAAGTCCCATGAAGATTAGAACAAACCTGACTTACCAAGAGGTCCAAATGAAAGCTGCCACTATTTTATTACTACTGTGCACTGCATCAAGTGACAGGTATCAGTTAATACTCTCTTCCAAAAGGATTCATATGCATAATAGCATTTCTAGTTCGAGGGAGATACATGTCAGACTTTAGGAGGACAACGTTGGAATTCCTTGCCTTTCAAGTCCCATTTAACTCAGCTTAAAGGATATGAAGATTGAAAAACACCCAGTGGAAAGAACCAAATACAGATGCCTAGAACAGAAAAGTGAGGAAAAACAAACCATAAAAACTCCATCAAAAGCTGTAATAGCTCTTAAAGTTCTGCCTGGCTCAGGCTGTTGCTGAGCTGAGCATATTTACAATCCACATCATTAGTGCATCTGCTAATTCACCAGACACAGGTGAATGGGAATTTACCAGTTGTAAGTTTGGGGAAGCAGCATGGGGAAGGAGAGCTCAGAATCTGGAAAGAGGATGTGAGCAGATGAGGAGTGGGTTTCAGAGTGTACATTAGAAACAGGAGAAGTTTTCTTCCTAGGTATTAGGGTGTGCTTGTGTTTGTAGGTTTGTTTGGGAAGGTGTTCGGAGGTCCTGCACTGTTCGGAGGTCCTGCACGCGGATGAGTATTGCATCTGTACCCCAGAGCTGCCTCTGTACGTTAGTCCATCTGTGAATATAGGAAGTAACACAGCTCCTCCCTCCAATCTTTCCCTGTGGAAGTTTCCCAGTAAACACTCT